TACACAGGGCTATATTACTGTGCTGAACACAATGGACAGTCTGTGACTGTACACAGGGCTATATTACTGTGCTGAACACAATGGATAGAGTCTGACTGTACACAGGGCGGTATTACCGTGCTAAATAGAATGGACAGAGTCTGACTGTACACAGCCATATTACTGTGCTGAACACAATGACAGAGTCTGATGTACACACGGTGATATTACTGCGCTGAGCACAATGGACAGAGTGTGACTGTACGTGGGGCTATATTACTGCGCTGAACACAATAGACAGAGTGTGACTGTACGTGGGGCTATATCACCGCGCTGAACACAATAGACAGAATGTGACTCAATAGAAAGGTAGAAATCTTCCACAGCCGAAAATAAAATCAATTGGCCAGAAACCCCTCCACAGAACATGGTACATGTTAAAGTATTTGGGTAGCACTTTATTTGTACTAACATATTAAACATACTTCTGTGCAGTCCCTGCTGTAATATAGGAAATATGGCAGTCAATTTGAACACAACAAAGGCCAACATTCAACAACAAAATAGTGAGTTTTTTTTCAAGAGGGTTTGACTACAGAGTAAATATTGTCCAGGATAGCAGGTGATAACTCCTGCTAATATTCCAGTAGTTCTATACGTGACCTTCCAAAGCTTCGTGTTTCACATGAGACCTGAAACCAACGTCCTTGTCAATGTAGCACTCTGACAGAACTGCACTGCTGTCCAGCTTAGATTCTAACTTGACATGGTACAATAGAAAGACACATGGAAACGGCATTACAGACTCCCATAACATTACCAAATTCAATAGCATAAGGAACCATTAGAGTACCAGTACAAAGGAGATCTCAAACAAGTGACAGTGCTCCCTCAACATCGCATTGGCAGGAGCATCAACTTCAGTTGTGTCGTCAGTCTCTGGAATTCACCTACTAAGGCTTCAGAGATGAGGCTTCAGAGACGAGGAGATGTCAAAATTCCATGAAGAGAAGCTTCAGGAAGAAGGATACAAAATGCCCAGATTTGCAGGAGCTATAACTCAGAGAGTATGGATCTGTTCTGTCCAGAATCATTGATTTGAATGAAAAGCATCCAGTCCACCCCAAACCTTCTCATACTCTGGCCTCTTTGCCCAATTTGAGCATCTCTGATTCTTCCAATGATGATATTTCAGAATGGCAATAACATCTAAGGATATTCAAAGCAGTCATTCCTTCAAGAGTTTGCGGGATGAGTGATTTTCAGAGTGAAATATTGATTGGAACAGGAGAGAGGTTTTAAAGTGTTGGCACAGGAATGATGAGCTGGAAGGCCTGTTTCTGCACTGTCTAATTCTCCCAATTCGAGTGATAGTGAGAAACAGTCCATCTGATGGTTTAGGTAAAGCTTTGGTTCCTATTTTCCTCATTTCCTATTCCATCAAAATTGACCCAAACAGAAACCGTAACACCAGTGTCAAGACTTTCTTAAACCCGACCAGATGCCAGGGTTTGCTCAGAGGACCATGTCTGTTTTGTCTTTTTCTTTCAATCATTTCTTTCTCTGTTTATCTCTTCCTTAATAAAAGCTACAAATAAACATTTTGCTGAACTCCCTGAAAAATATGAAGCATTGTATGTTTTCTTGTATTATCTTCTCCAGAAGACATTAATTAGAATGCTGAGCTCATATTGCCCATTGAAATGTTTGAAAGCCATACTTGCAGAAGCAAGACACAATGGTTCACATGGATTTACATTTATTACACCGGGGGGAGTTCTGAAGTTGTAGAATTTCAATGAACAAAATTAATAAATTTACTTCCATGGTAATGGGCAGAGAGAAAGTGCGATACTTAATGTAGTTTTTATACAGTGATGTCAACATTGATTTTCTCCATTAACACAACAAACTACTCTCTATGAATATACTCTGATTTACCTCACCCTGTTCCTGCTGAAACCCTCATCAATGCTTGCCCTAACCTCCAGAACATGC